TTCAGGTCTGTTACCGCGAAAAGTTGGTCGAAACCGGCGGCTAACATTAATTCGCCGGTCAAATCAGCTCACCCGAATTTACCGTAATCGTCCGCAACACCTTTTTAAAGGCGACGTCACGTCACGTGTGGTTTCTCTGCGGTTTTTTACGCCCAAAAACCCGGAACGTTTCCCGGCAAGAGACGATCAATTCATTTTTAATACGCTTTAGCAGTTGCAATTTACCAGGACGGTATTTACTCAAAACACTGTTAAACGATACCTAGTCCGACAGTAGTTGTCCAGACACACAAAAAAGGTTTTAACAACACATAGTTTACCACATAGTTGAAAACCGTCTCAGTTCACCGTCAAAGCTAAAACAAATTTGAAGTATGTGCAAACGGTTTTATAAAAATACTTTATGACATGGATCCTTTTTATACATCACTGTTTCCTCTCGTCCTTACTTATTTACTCCAAGAATGAGTTAACATCATTACTACTGTTGTATGTTTATCGACTGCGATTTACCTTTATATTTCCATCTTGGTTTTTTCCCTAATAGCGTGGCGGTTTTTATTTTTTTTTTTTTTGTATACTTTATAACGCTATTTAAGCCAGCGTTCTCATCTTAGCGGCGGCTCCTGGTCGGCTGACGTTTGAAATTTGATCACGAAGAACTTGACTGCGCGTTCACCGTGTATTATTCACTTCGGCTCTAGCCCGTTTTCGGTGTACAGGTTAATCCGACCCCGAACGAGTATCGTTTGATCGCAGCTATCATTTATCGTGCGTTTGTACCGCGATACCAGTCAAACCTATTGGATTGCTTTGTGCGTTCCACCGACCTTTCCGTTCGACCGAAATAATTACTACTTTCCAACCGGCGCATCTTGTTGTGGCATATCGATCAACCGGCGGCAATTAATTTAGCACCGACACAAAACCTAACCGGATTAAGTTTTGACTGCATGCCGGACGTTCGCCGAGCACCGTGGGTGGTTTTTTGGGTTAACAAATAATTAATTTCGCCCGGCGGTCTCGCGAGACCCGCTGGAAGAGGCCGACGAACAACAAACCAAAAATTCACATAATATTACACCGCGTCTCCGGTTACCTGGTTGAATTTACTACATCTACATACATTTTGCCCCTGCACCGTGGTCACGTGGTCAACGTTCAAAGGTTGTTCGGTATAGCATAATCGTGCGACACTCTGACAACATCCTGCTTTGGGTTTTGCAAAATGTGCACCTGTGCTCGTCTTACAAAACGGTTTCGACAACTTGAGTTAAAAGCCTACAGACCTCGTCTGAACACAACAGATTCAACGACCATCCGTCGCCGTACCAAAGCCATTCGTTCTGGACGGCGGGGGCAAAAAAAAATAAATCACATGTCGTTTGGTGGCTGCAAGACCTCTGACCAAACGGGGTTGGCTGGAAGAAAAAAAAATGTCGGGCGCTTGGCTTTGATCGAAGAGAAATCTGATGATTACATTTCACTTAGCCGAATTCGATGTACCTACCATTTTTTTTTTCAGCGTGTGCCCTTTTCTGAGAAACTCGGTAGTCTCAAAATGAAAAATCAATGATTTGTCTAAATTTCGGTACAGACCAATTCGGATACTGTTATATTTTTTGTAGAACGGCAATTTTATTTGAAAAAACCGCTTTGTAACAATTATCATTTATTTAATTGACAACCAATGAAGATTTTTACATGCCCATAAATATCGACTAATTTAACATTAATACCTCAGACATTAAATCGGTTATTGTATAGGTGGTGTAACTCCAATTTTTTAAAATATCCATATTTTTGTTTGATGAAATCACATTTAATCGTGTTTTTCAAAGAAAAGCAACTCCAATAAATGCAAAGACTTTTACAATGAACGACACATAAATATATTATGTCTCTAACAAACACTATTACTAAAAATGTGTAGCTTTTTTTTTCCACTGTGATTTCTAGTGAAGAATATTATTCCATCGAAATGGACAACAATAAAAAAAACGAATTTAAATTAATTGGGAGTAAAAATAATTCGCCGTTATGGCCTTTGGCTTTCCGTTTTCGGTGCTACCCAAAACTGCTATTGATTTTTTTTTTGTCGGCAAGCGTACGCGTTACATTAATTGTAAAATAGTGTATTAATTGAAAACGGTTGAAATACAATCATTGTTGTTATATTGTTACTGTGGGTTTTGACTATTCAATGTGAATACCGACGGCGGTGGCCATAAATTATTATTACTAGGACGAATTTTGGCTTTTGGGTCGCGGTCGAACGACGACGACGTTGAATCACAACGAGATATAAAAACGAAAATCAATTTTTTACAATAAATAAGTACTTTTTATTGTTTACTTTTTCGTTGCGACTAAAAATATATCGCATATAATATAAATAATATTATATCGTTTTAAAAAAAATATAGCGGGAAAAAAAACGGATGTAGTTGTATTTATTTATTTATGCCGTTTGGCGAAACCGAGCTCGGAAAATACAGTGCCGAAAGTCCTATATATATATATATAGAATTTATATCTGATATAAGAAAATTATTTGTAAAAAAATATGTATATATATGTATTTTTTTTATTTATCGAATACACAATTTGTGTAATACTATTTTTACACGCTCGACTCGATTTCTACCCCGTTTTTTCCCCTTCTGAAACGTGACAATTATTTCAATTACCGTCATTACCGTTAGTGGGCTCGCCACTATTAAATACACGGACACGAGCGTCTGTCGGCCGTTCGGAAGTAATTATTCTCTTCTTCTGGAATAATTGCACGCCCCTCCCCCCTCCCCCCAAACGCAATCGCTCAGAAACAGCTTATTGTCAAGAACTCGGTACTCGTTTTTTACATTTTTTTAAAATTTTTTTTTTTATGTCCTTTGCCAGCTAGTGTGACGCGAACAATTGCCACCGTTTTGTCTCTTGGCCAAGAGTGCTGCCGCGACGACGACGAGGGCCGAGGAGAGCGCACTGTTTTATTAAAACTAAAAGCCACCAGAGGGGTCTCTTTGCGCCGACAATGTATAGAAGGCAGTGCTCTATAAAGGTATTTGCCGGAATGTCGGTGTACTACCGCGGCCAGTACACTCTATATAATATATATATATATATATATATATATATATGTGTAGGTACTCCTTTTTCCTTCGATCCCATTATTATATTGTTTTCATAATATACCAGCACGAATTGCAGTCATTCCTATATCCCACGTCACTGCGACGCCTTCGCTACGGGAGCGATAGGGGTTTAAAAAGAAAAAAAAAAAAAAGGAATAATTCTTTTGTGTGTACATATCATACATCATACAATAACCATGACGAACTTTCAGTCCAACGCATACTTGTTTGCATTCACTTTGTTCTCATAGTGTGAATTTTGTATTACAATAATTATATTTTATTAATTATGATTTATAGAGTACTATACGAAGAATATAGTTGCATGACCATTAATCATCAAAATTCTATTATAGTTGTAGTTTATTACTTGGCACTTAAAAAATATTAACAATTTCAACCTAAACCGTGTTTGGGTTGAAATCGGATTTGTGAGAAAATATTGCGGTTTCTTGGAATTGTTATCTGCTGAAAATACTTGTAGGAAATAAAAAATCAGATCTCAACTCATACTTCTCTCTAGTCTTCCAAGATAAATAAATTCTTAGCTAACCGCTATTGATACTATATAAAACGCCAAATTTTTAGATGTTTTTTCTTTCACTATTCATTTCTAATGAATTGTGTGATTTGCCGGCTCCGATGGAATTCCGAAAAATACGGATTGTGTTTCTCGTAAACTATCATGATTTTAATTATGTCCAAAAAGCAATTGGAATCAAACAATGGCCATAAAATGTAACTACGTTATCCTACACACATTCCCTATACGATCAGAGTGACTGGCGTATCGCCGTTGTCTGAGGATTATTATTTTCATTTTACAATGGACTTCACTAGAAACATAATATAATACTATATTAAATTAAGGAGGATTAGCTGTAATAGGATTACGTCATGTTATTAATGTTTTCCGTCTACTTCATCGTGTTATTCGCTCACGTGATACTTTTGTTCAAGAAAAATTGCGGGTTTAAGATGTACTACAAAAACGATGAAAAATAGTTGATTAATTGTGAATGTAGAAAATTATTACTAGTATTGTTACTTTTGCGGCATTGTTGGTCATGTGCAAACGTTGTGTTCAAATTGTAATAACATTGGTCGTGCGGATTATTATTTAAATAATAATATTGGCTCATCATAATATGTAAAGTTAATGGTGTCACAGATTCTCATGAAAATTCTTAAGTTCTGCAAAATATTTTCTGGAATACATAGTACCTATAGCTAGATTTGAAGTTTGAGACATTTTAATACAATGTCATTGAATTGGTTTTATTTCTTAGTTTAATAGTTTGATTTTTAAACTCTAAAAATGTTTGCAAGTAATATTTATTCAACAAAGTTGAAGAATAGGAAATACTCAAAGCTCTTTAAAGAATGTTATTGTAAATTATCGTTGATTTAATATTCTTATGTGGAATAGGATACATAAGTCAGTTGATTTTAAAAATTTGTTTGAATGTGATAACTAATAAATATAGTACTTATTGTTATAGATTTTGAATAAAAAGCTAAGCTGCATACAGAAGACTATCGACTTTCCCAGTATTAGCTAGAAGTTATTGAAGTTTTATCTTCGAATAGTACACACTGCATTGTCTGCAATTTTATTTACTTAACGGACGACTGAGCGTTTACCACACAATCTGAACTTCAAGTAAAATAATTTCTTTTGTCCTTTACAAGCATGTTTACTCTTTGATGTAGCAGTTTAATGTTATTCAACTATTCTACAATACGTTTAGAATTAGATCTATACGGGGACTTTTTTTATACGGCTGATGCGAACTAACGTTGACCAACTAATCTTGAGGCGCCCAGATGAGAGGAGGAATAACACAATATCGCTTTATTACTTACTTATTTAGCCGTTAGACGGATTGCATCATTCCTGTAACAAAAAAATGTAATGTGTTGGTAAAACGTACAATATTGATTTAATCATAAAGAGTTTAAAAAAAAAAAAGTGTTGTCGAGCAAAGGGCCGTTAATCGTATGCGCACTATTATAATATTGCGGTTGAGTGTATTTCAATTGTAAAATAATCGACTGTATAATGATAAAATGCTCTAACCGGGTCGAACAACGACGAATTAGGGTTATTTCCCAATGGTGTGGAAAACAAAAACCGATCCTCTTATACCAATATTGGTAATTAATCAATCCAACGAGATAAGGAGAGCGGGGGGGGGGGGAGAGGTCGTGAGATTATTTTTACTCGATTAGTCCGACGGTATAAATCTTGTCTAGCCCTCGTAGACCCGCCTCCCCTCCTTCACCCCCTTGTAGGAAGTACACGATTTCCATATTATCATCGCTTACACACTCAACACCACATGTTATATATATATATATGGTACACTAAAGGGCGCCTCTCTCATTATAACGATATTAACGAATTAATTACCATGGCGGCGACAGCGAACGCCACGATTATAACACCGAATCACGTTCTCAAAAATATGCAACCACTCGATCGTCTTGCTCGCCCTCAACCCTTTTGATCTATTTACGAAAGACGTTAAGCACCACCGCATGTCATCGCATACACGACAAAAACTCATTAGCATTCATTCCGAGAGCATAAAAGGCGGTCAAACGAGAGTCAACGTCCCCGACACACCCACACACACACACACCGATAGAGTTAAAAAAGCGATAATAAACGCATAAGGGCGCGAAGCAGCGAGTAAAAAACATACTTATCGTTTTCATAGAATATAACATCATATATTATGGTTTTAACGTGGCAAAACACACGGTCAGGCCCAATTTAAACGGACAGCGACCGTTATGCTACCGAATGCGGTGGTCGGGAAAATTACCAATAATTCGATTTTGTTGATTGGATAATAAGTTTTGTTCGGTGTGGAAATTCCAAACAAACAAGTTTCACAACACAATCAACAGCAAAACACCTACACACAGTGATTATTATTAGCCACCTAGTGCGAGTGTGCATTCAAAACTTTACGACACACGGTTGTGTAGTTATTTAAAGAATGAAAATTGCATTCACTTGTAATGAACGTGTATCCCATTCATAAAACACACCAAACACTGAAATAACGAGGTTATTGGCTCTCCAATGAAAACTTCAGTATTTAACGTACGATTGAATATCTATACTTACTATACTTTACTATTCATTAAATATTAAATAACGATTATCTATTAACGAGCGAGTAGGCGGTGAAACGGATAACTCTTCATTGCAAGTAAGATTGCGTTTAATAACAATATTAACACAGCGTTTCCATCATGGAGGTAGTTGCTTGAAAAATATATTCATAAGCCTGATCAGCGTAGAACGGCGTTCCACATAGGCAATTTAGAGGCGTTCCGGTGTTATTGGCCAAACGTTGGCATTATAAATGAAAAAAAAAAAACAATCAACCAATCTATTAAAAAGTGAAACTAAAGCATTTTATTAACGACCGATATTATTATTTTTTAGTCAAACGAATAATTAAAAACTATAATATCGTGTTATCCGCCAATTATTTTTGTAGGTATTATAATATTATATTAGTAGTATTTTCGTTTAATTAAACGAGCTTATTAACCTAGTTAATTAAAAAATAATCATTATATATTATACGGACCCAAAGCAATTACTAAAGCTGCGCTTAAAAATATTTTTTATTGTTATTGTATCACTCGCTCGCTCGGCGGAAACGAAATAAATTAAATAACTAACGTTGTCTAATTATTAAATGAACCTGAAGCAAAATACGTATTAAAAAAAATATATAATAATAATAATAATAACAGCGGGGAAAGTGTAACCCCCGAGTATAAAATAAAGGGCCCGGGATTATGAATGAAACATTGGCACCGTGCAATACAGAGGTGTGGAAGGGAGAGGAACGGGTCGAGCAGCCAATTAAGCCGTCGTTTAATTCAAAAACATTAATCTAGACATGATCGTCGTGTATTTAAGTACAGCGACAAATTAGTGAACATAAATTTCTCCTGCTCGGCATTCGTCTGACGGGCGCGACCCGAAATCCGATCGGCAACAAAGCGAAATACAGCCGACAATGTATATACACAATATACACATTATATTGGTTTACACGGTATTGCCTCGGGTCTGAAATCGGACAAGAAACAATTTTGGAAACAGGCGAATCAAAATCGTAGGTCGGGTCAGTCGTTGGTGTTAGGCCTGGTTAGGTCTGGTTAGGTCTGGTTAGGTCTCCGGGCAAAACGTTTTCAGATCTTGGCCCGGTAGCTTAGTCTGGGTAGCCTGTAATAATTAATTATTCGTTCCTAGCTACGATACTAGTCCAGCAATTTTAATCCTGTCACTATTTGCGTTCGACACTATCCCACGCCCCTTCACATGTGCTTCCTCTCTTTCCTCTTCCCGTTCCCTCCAATCCACGCCGTTATGTCGGACAATATATTATTATTATTATTATTATTATCAATTTTAAACCCGGTTGTATGCGATTACACCGCACCGTTAAACGGCATTCAAAGCCATGTAGTGATGGATGTTATAATTCAGTGTTGTGGCACACGTGCGTCGCGCAATACATAAATAATAACAACGTTGTTTATATCATCGTCATAGCGCTAAAACTTCATTACAAATATTATAATATAATATTCAACCGAAGCAGAGACCAACATGGTATAGCATAATGTAAAATACACTGCTTAATGACGTTTAAATTACAAACATAGCGGCAACGGCGTGATCAATCAACGCCGAATATTATAAAAAGTGAAAATATCAATTTTTTTTTTTGTTATTATTGTAGTTTGGGAGAACAACACGCTCCGATACTTTTATTGGAAATTTTTCAAGTTAAGGCGGAGATGGGTTTCCTTTACTCGTAAAAAATAAATAACAGTTTAAATCCCTTTTTATGTTCCGAAAGAAAAATATGGGTTTCCCTTCAGAATAACAAAGTTTTGACACCTTAAAACTGTCGCTTAAAAAGAGGTCGCATATACTACAAGTACTCGGTTCTAAATTTTATTTCTCTGTATTTGCATAAGCATATAATCGTTGAAAATAGTAAATGTCCGTGTAACGTTATCGTGCGAATTTGTTAAACGGCCGACGTTTCTCAAGACGTTTTATTCGACTTTTTCATACAATCGTGTAACAACAACAACAACAACATTGCTCACTCATTTCTGTTTGGGACCGTTATTTCGTACAACGCATTTGATTTTTACTATCCTCAACAAACTTGCTGTGTTTTTATTGAGTTCGAATAAAAGCTCAAACCCTCCCCCGGTCTCTGCTGTTAAGTATTCAACTAAAATTCAGTAAGAACATCCCAGTGCGGTAAACAAAAATAATATGTACTAAAAAAAAAAATGTTGTCGACATTATTTAAAAAACCTTAATAGGTCAACTGTGTACAAAAAAAGTATGACTCCGTTCTCGTAATAACCTTTAAAACCGCAATTTTACTGGTTCCGTGTTCATAGTAAGTTTCCCTCGTTAAAAAGATGAAGAAACGTTTATTAAACGTTTAATGTAACGTTTTAATGATACACCTATGTCTAGCTACAATCAGGAAATTAAAAACTAAAACAATAAAAAGTTAGGACAATAAAATTTGGACGTGATGTATAACGTCTTGTCGGTTTTCCAGGAAAGAAATAAGGAGGCGGATTCTCAGAAACTTTTTTTTAGCAAGAATGCAATAATTTTTTTCTTCTTAATTTTGTTTTTTAGTGACAAACCCTGCAATAACTTTACTCGTGGGAAGAGGCAATCGTCGTACCGCCCTTTTCGAATACCTTTCGCCCCCTGCTGTTTTTTTTATGTTTTTAGCATCTCAAAAATGTTTGATTTGTTTTCTCAACTAAATTTATGAAGCGATTTATCTCGTTAACCGTCCTCAGAGGCTTTTACCAGTTTTTAACAAGATTCAAAAAAAAAAATGTATAACTTTGGACAGTTAAGCCTATACTCGTTGTTTTAAAAAATGCAAAGGCCACAAGGGGCGTATAGAGTAAGTCGTTATAACGCCAGACAAGACATGATTGTTTGGACCGGAGAAAGAGCGAAATCGAACGGTTTAGGTAGCAAACTGTTACAATAAGACGAGCAGGTCTCTCCTATTGAACAACATAACGCCGTGCAAGGTGAAAAAGAAAAATATAATCTTAGATCGCAAATAGAGCATATAGAAAACACGGTGAGTACACACAAAACGGCCGGAGTCGTCCGGGTAGGTTATGTAACATGACTGTGTGTGTGTTTGAAATTTTGTTGTTCTGATGGAAACCAAACAACGACGACGACAACCGACGTCGACGATGAGTACAAAAAAAAAAAAAATATATTAAAAAAAAAAAAACAGAAAAAACTTTTGATCGGGATGATTGATGACGGTGGCAGCGTTAGATACTGAATGCGAATGCGTGTGTGTGTGGGGAAAGATGCTCGTGTGTGGTTAAGGGACGTCGTGTATAGTGTTGACATTGGGCCGGGGGGCCGTGGGGGGGGGGAGGGGCGAAAGAGTTTTTCGGGGTCGACGAGCGACAGGGAGGGTAATAAATGTTGTTTCCCGGTGAACCTTGACAAAAGTCGACGCCACGCCGAACCGTTATATCTTTTCACGGCGACAGGGATATATGATGGGAAAATTTGCTCTCGACTCGCCGGCAATTTGCATCGGGGGCCCCTTGCACCTCCCCTCGACCGCGGCGGCGCTTGCCCTCCGTCGCGCGCCGAGTGTTATTTTTTCCCGGCGCGCCGCCACCGCACACGGCTCTCCTCTTTTTATAATAATAATAATAATAAAATATATATGCATATATATATATATAGGTAGTATCGGTAAATATTGACTGTTGAAATTAATTTTTCCGGCAATAGAAAACGACCCTTTTTCGACGACCCTCTGGCACAATATG